TTTGGTCATGTTGTCAGAAGGGACCATTCCCTGGAGAAGGATGTCATGCCTGGTAGGGTGTAGGGTTGACGAAAGAGGGAGAGGCCTTCAACGAGATGGAGCAACGAGGTGGCTGCGATGATGGGCTCAAGTGTAGCAGGGATTGTGGGGCTGGTGCAGGATCGGGCAGTGTTTCGTTCTGCTGTGCATGGTCACTATGAGTCGGAAACGACTCGACGGCACTTAACAACAACAACAATTCAAGTGTCCAGAGCACTGCCTGCCTGAGATTACAATGGAATTCATTTTTGCATTTGGACTGCAAATCTCCAAAGAGCTAGATTGTGGTTATTATTCCTCAGGGATAGAGTCTCCCCTTCTGGCTCATCTTGGCACTAAGGCCAACTATTCTTGGAAAAAGCAGTTTCCAGTATTCTTGAAGTAATATGCCTTTATTTCTGGTTCACTGTTACATGATGGTGTAACCCAGGGGGGCAGGAGCTTCACCCTTATGAGAAGGTGTAGCTCCTATGAGATGCTACCACTTGGGCAGGTTCTAAACCTGCACTGTCCAATATGACAGCCACTAATATATGTGGTTATTCAGTACTTGACATGTGGCGAGTGTAACAGCAAAACTGAAATTTTATTAATTTAAACTTAAAAACAGAAGCAGTGTAAAATGTTTTTTAATTACACACAACCACAGTGCCTAAATCATCTGACTGCTAACCAGAAGGTTGGTGGTTAAAATCCACCAGCCACTGCGCAAGAAGCAAGACTGGGCAATCTACTCCATAAAGAGTTACCACCTCAGAAACCCAATGGGGGTTGTTATGAGTCAAAATTGACTCGATGGCAGTAGGGTTTTATTGCTTTGGCAGAACTATATTTCACTTTAACCTTTGAAAATTTAGTGTCTGAATTAAGATGTGCTTTAAATGAAAAATATACACCAGGTTTCAAAGACTGACTATGAAAAAACGATGTAAAGCATCTTAATAATATTGTTACATGTAATATCAATTACAGAGAGCCCTGGTAGTACAGTGCTTAAGCACTTGGATGCTAAATGAAAGGTCAGTGGTTCAAACCCAGTGCTTCTCTGTGGGAGAAAGATGTGACAGTCTGTTTCTGTAAAAAATTTGCAGCCTTGAAAATCCTAAGGGCAGTTCATATCTTGCTCTTCTACTAGCTTATATACTTTTTTGAAGGTAGAGACTGTATATGTGTTTCTTCTGTCACTTTTCTTCTTTCCCAAAATCTAACCCACTACACACAATGCCTATTATGTTTGTTGATGAAGGCATATCGATTTTTCATCTTTCCATTTTGACTCAATTATTTCCATATTTGACCTAAATATTTAGAAAATTTTCAAATGTATATATTCCTTCTAACAATCCTGCAGTTAAAATAATTTCATATTTAAATAGCTGTTTACATATAAATGGCTTTTAGATTAAGTAGCAATTAAAGAATATAAAAGTATCAACATAAAGATTCTTTTGCAGGATAGCACATAAAATTTAAAACTTCACTTAATTCGCTCCATGGACTCACTTTGAAAATAATAAACTATGCATTCCCTGTCAGGATAAATTAAGTAATACTGTCATTTTAAGAGAACTTTATAAACAGACAGGCATCCTTCAAAACGTTACTGCTAAATCATTCTACACATTAGTAACCTATTTTAAACATAAAATATGTTATTTTTAGATGTTACGAATCTCTTTTGAATCCTAAACATTATAAACACTGAAAACTAGGGTTTTAGTAATATTTTTCAACTGGACCAATAAGCAACATTATGAGAAATGGAGAAAATACTGAAGTGTCAAGAATTTCAATTTACTTGGATCCACAAAATCAACACCCATAAAAGTAGTAGTCAAGAAAGCAAGTGATGTACTGCATTGGATAAATCTACTACAAAAGACTTTTTAAAGTGTTAAAAAGCAAAGATGTCACCTTGAAGATTAAGGTGTGCTAGATGCACGCTACGATATTTTCAATTGACTCATATGCATGTGAAAAGTGGAAAATGATTAAGGAAGACCAATGAAAAACTGATTCATTTGAATTACGGTGCTGGTGAAGAATATTGAATACACAATGGCCTGCCAGATGAATGAACAAATTGGTCTTGGGAGAGGTACAGGCAGAACGTTCCTTAGAAGCAAGGATGGCAAGACTTCATTTAATGTACTTTGGACACGTTATCAGGAGGGATTAAACCCTGGGAAAGGACATCTTTGTAAAGATGACGGTCAGTGAAAAATAGGAAGACCCTCAATGAGATGGATTGATATAGTGGCTGCAAAAATGGGCTTGAACAGAGCAACAATTTTAAGGATGGTACAGCACCAGCAGTGTTTCATTTTGCTGTTAATACGGTGGCTATGAGTCAACTGACTGTAGCGTATAACAGCAATAACAGTAAACATTTTTATATATTTATATGGGAAATAAACCATTTCACCCATATATGAAGAAAATATAAAAAAAAATTATCTAAAATATACTTGATATTGGTAGGAGATCAACCTACATTTTTAGAAATTGTTGCTCTAATATTATCTTTCCAGGAGATTATCTTTTCTTAGAATAATTTCAGTTATAACTGTAAATTATAATTTTTGTTTCCAAATATAAAAATCATACCCCATTCTGTCACTTGCAACAGATACAAGATAAAGGTGTTATTATCAAGTGCCTTATGGGTTATTTGTATTAGACCATCACTGACTCTAATCAAATGATCCCACCAAAATGTCACCAAGAGTATATGATTTTTTTTCCCCTCTGCATAATGAGATTTTTCAGTTTGTGTGAAAATGGTCTTGCCATATTAGTCCATCAACAGACATGCCACGCCATCCCCTCCCCTATGAGTCTAAACCCATACTGTAATTTGCCTCATCTTTTGTGATTCTACTTAAAAATCTACTCTGATATTCCAAATTCAATTATCATATTTCTACCATTGTATTCCAGTATATACAGGCAAACTTAAAGCTTATAGATGAGCTAAAGAATAAAAAAAAGTTGTAAAAGATAAATCAAATCCACAAACCTAGTAAGTATGTGCTGCAAAATATTTCAAAAACTAAGTTAACAGAAATGTTTAAGAAAAACATTCAGTAACTCAAAAGGAATCATTATAAACACTGTAAATTAGATTAGCCTGAAAAAGAAAAATACAGAATGTGATTCACAAAAATGATAGTCAAGGTGTTTTATTAAACTAAAATTTATTAATCTATAATACACAAATTCTCTCAGTTCAGCAATACAGGGTCCCATTGGAAGTGTAACCTACTTTTGAAACCTTGATTTGTTTTTGTTTTTCTGTCCAGGTTTCAATAGTAGTATAACAACGTGAGGATCAGAATCTTCATTATCATTGCTACTTTAGTTTTTTTTTTTTTTTTTTTAAAGGAAAAGAAAAAAAAAATCAATTCAACAGCAATTATTCATTCCATTTTCACCTAGCTCAAAATTATAACTCAAAGCAATTCAACTACCAATCCTACTTGTGATGCATACCTGTACAAAGCAAAAAATCTGGGACTACAGTTATTTTTAGAGTAGAACTGGCAAATTAAGTTGTGTTTGTACTAAACATTTTAGTATTATTTATTTAGGCAAAATAAAGTTACCCCACCATATTTGTTTGTCCATCGCATGTGCTGATTTCACTCCTTTCTTCCAGTTTTACAGTCCTTTCTCTTATTTACTTATTCATCCTGGACTCTGTTGTTGATTACTTCATTCACTAAGCCTCAACTCCCATTTATCTTTTGCTTTCCATCCTCAAATCCCCAATCCTACTTCAATGCTTCAACTCCACTGTTATAGTTAAGTTGTGTGTCAACTTGGTTGGGCCTGGTTAGGTGGCTGGGCAGCTGGATTTTATTTTAATATTTTATTATTTATTTATTCCCCATGATGAGACTGGTAATCAACTCCATGGTGGAATTTACTGTGAGCAGCTGAGTAGCTGCCTTGGGGATATGGTCTGCTTCCTGTATATAAGGAGAAGCCTTGGGGAAGAATGGTCTCTAGCTTATGGCATGCTTGAACCCTATATGTAGCTGTGTTGTTGTTGTTCAGCAGTCTGCCATGCTCTGCCAACCTTGGGACTTTCAATGGATTTGAATTAATGGCCTGCCATGTGGTTTGGTAACATTGGCACTATGCCTTTTTACTTGTCAATCTTGGGTTTGTCAGTCTCAGCAGGCAGTAGCTGTCTGAGTGAGGAAAAGCCTCTAGCTTCAGTGGGCAGGTAGCAGGAGACAGAGCTGAAGCCCAAGGTTGAGGGGCTTCTACTCAGCCCCTCAAGCCTGGCACTTTGAATTTGGACTTAAACCCTCCAAACTGTAAGAGAATAAACTCCTGTTTGTTAAAACAATCCCATTTGTGGTATTTTCTGTTAGAGCAGCACAGAGTTAACCAAAATATCCACCTTCCCCAGGCAACTAGCAACCTAAGCCCTGATGGGAGAACAATTGTACCAGTTGTATAGAGTAATTAGGGATTTCCTTTAATACTAATAAACAAAAAAAGTAATAATTACCTCTAGTTGCTTCTTAAGTAACTAATTTGTAATGGTTCTTTCCCTATTGGAAATCATTTCATCACTAAGATATTCTATTGAAGAGATTTATCCAATTTCTATTTATTAAGTAACATTTTCTTTCTTACCATATATTAAAACAAAACAATCAAATGGTTTATACAACCAATGTCAGACAATTCTTTCCTTAAAGAGCTATACATCCAAAGATAACTGACAAAAGCTGCTTTACCTTCAGGAGCATCAGCATCACAGCTCTTTGGCACAGAAATGGTTGAATTGCCTTTATGGTCATTGTAAGTAGTATTGTTCTGGAAGATGATGATATAGTCACAATGTTAAGTATTACTTTACTGAATACATTTTGATAAAGAACTAATCACATTACCCTGCAATTATCTTAAACTGGAGTCTTGCGGTGGTGAAAACAATTAACATGTGAACGTCCTTAGCTGCTAAACTGAACAGCTGCAGAGGAAGCCCATCCAGAGGTACTGTGTAAGGCCTAGCGATCTGCTTCTGACAATGCAGCACAGCTCCACTCTGACACACACGGCATGGCCATGAGGTGGAATGAAGCAGACAAAACTGGTATTTCTTAAAACTGCATTATCAAATAATCCAAAAAATAAACTTATTATGAAATCTGAATTAGAAAACATATTATCGTAAGTATCAACATTAGGTTAATTTGGAATAATTCTTTAAGTCCTCTGATGAGTACAGCTTATTCTCAGAACAAGAAAATCCTATTTCTAGTCTAAACATGGCATACAAGAAGATATAAACTACTTCTTTTTCCATTATTGAACACAAAAAATTATTGTCCTTGCAGAAACATGACTGTCATTCATTCACAGGGGAATGTTCAATAGTGAACAGGTGCAGAGGATGAGGCAGGAAAGCAACAAAAAGGTGTAAATAATAAGATTCAGGTGATTTTCTAATAGTGTTTCCCAAACCTCCACCATGGTGTGTACCCTATCTTTGCTCCATCTACATTATTTCTTATTTAGTATTTTCAAAAATTGACTTTTTAACGTTAAGCTATATCATGATGGTAGTAATTGAGGATTTTATGTGCCTGTTAGAGAAAGTATAGGATCAAGCACTAACATAAAAAAGAAATGATCTGGCCAGACTACATTAACACTACAAAGGTTAAACTAGGCCCTGAAGCATGCATATGATATGAATATGTTAGAAAGTAGGGCAAGAAATATTTTAGGAAAAAGAAACAAACTAAAGAAATGTTGAATCAAAAATGGTCAAAATATTTTAAATTGTCAGAAAATCAAAACTCGGTTTCCAGTTACACTAGAAACCTACAGGTAGGTGGCTTTTAAGATCAACAGTATGGAGAAATCAGTGGAACAGATATGAAGATATCCATCATGCCAAAAGAAATCTCAATTATTCACAAATATGATCATTATAAAGCCTGTGCTGTGGTATTCACAATACCAATGAGCAGTCAAAACTGTGTTTATCAAAACTGTTATGAGTTGGCATATTAAAATTCCTCAAAGCATATTTTAGAGGAAGGAATATGAGTTTTAATAAAATGTTAAGATAAAGCTCAGTAGTTTAGCACTATCAAACCTATTTAAAGAACTATGATAACGAAATTCAGTGTATTATTTTAAAGAATTTAACACCAGTTGCTGTGAAGTTGACTCCACCTGATGGTGACTTCATGTGCATCTAAGTAGAACTGTATTTCCTAGGTTTTTTTTTTTTTTAAAGTAACATTTTACTGTGACTTAGATGAAAGTTTACAGAGCAAATTAGTTTCATAGGTTTTCATAGGCTGCTTTTTCAGAAATAGATTGCCAGGTCTTTCTTCCGAGGTGTACTAATAGCCTTGAACTTCCAACCTTTCAGTAAGCAGCCAAGAGCATTAATGATTTACACTACCCAGCAAATCCAAAAAGAACCTGGTATGAAACAAATATGAATATGCTCAAAAATTGGAATGAAAAACTAGTAACCACTATTATATTTAATATGATCAGCTAATATTCTTATGCCATCCTTTCTAATATACAATTTGGTCTTAAATATCATTATCTTCAAAATATCAAAATAATCAAGATTCAAATTTTGTACTTACCTCTATTAAGTAATTTTGGCTTCCATACATAACATACTGGGGAGCAAGACTATATATCATGTAGCTAGTGTGAAGGACAATAAGCAGAAGTATCATGCAGAGAAATAAAAGTGCTTGGGGCCTGGTTCTACCTCTTCTGATTTTATACAACTGAAAAGAAAAGAAAAAGTGACAACCTATCAGCATTATGCTTTACTTATAAGATATTAAGTCCCACCCTTATGTTGTTGTTATGGACCACTGAGTGGTCTCCAACTCACAGTGACATTATGTACACCAGAATGAAACATTGCCCGGTCCTGTACCAGCCTCCTGATCCTTGCTATACCTAAGCCCATCATTGCAGCCACTGTGTCAATCCATCTTGTTGAGGGCCTTCCACTTTTTCGTTGACCCTCTCCACTTTACCAAGCATGATATCCTTCTCCAGAAAATGGTCTCTTCTGACACCACAACCAAAATAGGTGAAACAAAGTTTGGTCATTCTCACTTCCAAGGAGCATTCTGACTGCACTTCTTTCAGGACAGATTTGTTAGTTCTTTTAGCAGTCCATGGTACTTTCCGTTTTCTTCACCAATACCACAACTCAAAAGGATCAACTCTTCTTCTGTCTTCCTCATTAACTGTCCAGCACTCACATGCACATAAGGTGACTGAAAACACCATGGCTTGGGTTAGGTGCACCTTAGTCTTCAAGGAGACATCTTTGCTCTTCAGCACTTTAAACAGGTCTTTTGCTGCAGATTTCCCCAACAGAACGTCTCTGATGTCTTGACTGCTGCCTCCATTGGTGCTGATTGTAGAACCAAGTAATATGAAGTCTTTGACAACTTCAATCTTTTCTTCATTTATCGTGATGATGCTTATTGGCCTAGTTATGAGGATTTTCATTTTCTTTATATTGAGGTGTAATCTACACTGCAGACTGTAGTTTTCAATATTCATCAGTAAGTGCTTCAAGTCACCCTCACTTTCAGCAAAGTTGTGTGATCTGCGTATCGCAGGCTGTTACTGAGTCTTCCTCCAATCCTGATGCCACATTCTTCTACCTATAGTACAGCTTTTTGAATTATTTGCTCAGCATACAAATTGAATAGGTATGGTAAAAGAATACAAACCTGACACACTCCCTTCTTGATTTTAAATCATGCAGTATTCCCTTGTTCTGACTGAACAACAGCTTCCTCATCTACATACAGGTTCCTCATGTGTACAATTAAGTGTTCTGGAATTCCCAGTCTTCTCAATGTTGTCCATAATTTGTTATGATCCATACAACTGAATGCTTTTGCATAGTCAATAAAACACAAGTAAATATCTGTCTCATGTTCTCTGCTTTCAACCAAGATCCATCTGATATCAGCAGGTATAGCTCTCATTCCATGTCCTCTTCTGAATCCAGCTTGCATTTCTGGAAGTTCTCTGTCAACATACTCTTATGTTAGGGGTAATGATAAACAAAGTTCAATAATTTATTTTTTTCAAAATGAACACTAAAAGTTCTTCTTCTTTTTTTAAAATTGTTATTTGGGTGAAAGTTTACAGAGCAAATTCATTTTCCATACAGAAGCTCATATACACTTTGTCTCATGACATTGACTGCAATTTTCCACAATACAACAGCTCCCCTCCCACTTCCACCCCATAGTGATCTCTTCCATGTGTCCTTCCCTCCATGCACTCCTGCCCCCTGGGCTGTCTCCTGTGCATACACAGCCTTTCTATTCTCCCAAAATTGTTCTCTCCAAGGACTGCATCTACCTAATGTAAATGTTCAGCTCATATGCCTGTCATTTGGTTGGCTGGAAGCCACAGGAGTGGGTTCAATTCCAGACCTGAAGTGCAGCTAGAGGCCATAGCCTCAGTGGTTCCATCAGGTTCTATCAGACCAGCAAACCTTGTCCCTTTATTTTTTTTTAATGATTTTGAGTTTTGTTCCACATTGGTCTCCCACTCTGTCCAGGATCTCCTACACAAATCCCCCTCCGAGTGGTTGACAGTGGTAGCCAGGCACCATCTAATTCCTTCTGATCTCACAGCTGTATAGCCTGAGGATCTCATGGTGTACTAGTCACTTGGAATAATTGTTTCCATGTGTCTTTGGTTTTCTTCATTCTTCTTTGCTCTGGACAAGTAGAGATCCATCATTACATCTGGATGGCTGCTTGCCAGCTTTTAAGATCCTAGTCACTACTCGCCAAAGTAGGATGTGGAACAATGTTTTTATATAGTATGTTATGCCAACTGAGCTTGATGTTCCCTGGGACTATGGTCCCAAGTGCACAGGTCCAAATATTTGCTCCCTCTGGGTAGCTGGCTGTGGCTAGGATTGAGTATAACCTTGTCCCTTGTCAGCTCTTCTATATACCTGGGAATTCTTACAGAAGATACAAATACACTTGTAGAAACATTGTCTATCACAGCCCCCTCTGCAGAGACATACCTAATAGTTCAGCCTGTCTACCCATCTATCAACTTGTAGATCAATGTTTGCCTTCACTGACAATGCAGTACTGTAAGTGCAAAAGGGTTCATCTTTGTTGTCTGTACCTTCCATGTACCTCTCTATTTCTTC